TCCAGGAAGCCTTCTGTGATTGCCTTAGCCCTCAGAGATTATCCCCTTTTCCAGTCGCCAACTGAATTCAACTAGCCCCACCCAGAGTGGCCCCTAATGGATTTTTTTTTTTTTAGATTTTATTTATTTGACAGAGAGAGATACAGCGAGAGAGGGAACACAAGCAGGGGGAGTGGGAGAGGGAGAAGCAGGCTTCCCGCGGAGCGGGGAGCCTGATGCGGGGCTCAATCCCAGAACCCTGGGACCATGACCTGAGCCGAAGGCAGACGCTTAATGACTGAGCCACCCAGGCGCCCCCCATCAATACATCTTATTTTGGGTGCATTTCAAAGTAAGTTTCAGACATCAGTATACTTCCTCCTAAACACGTCAGCACATGCCATTAACTGCAGTCCAGTAATTGTTTATGGCTGTGTTTTTCTTTTGAGGTAAAATTAACATATAATTAAATGTATAAATTTTAGGTGTACCATTCCACGAGTTTTGACAGATGCAGACACTTTTGTAACTCATACCCTTATCAAAGTAAGAAACATGACCATCACCCCAGAAAGTTTCCTCACCCCCCTTCTCAGTCAATTATGACCACTCCCCCAACCCCAGGGTCTCATTAGAGGCAACTGCTACTCCGATTTTTTCCCCTACTATTGATTAGTTTTAAAAAGCTTCATGAAAATGGACTCAGAACCTACTCTTTTGTGTAAAACTGTTTTCATTCAGTGCAATTCTTCTGAAATTCAACCCTGCTATTGTGTGTTTACTCCTCGTAATTGCTGAATAGAATTCCATGGAATGGGCACACCACAATTCGTGCATCCATTTAACTGACGAACACCTGAGCTGTTTCTAGTTTGAAGCTGCATTTCACAAGTCTGTCTGAACAGAGCCTTGGCACATCTCAGAGACAAACCCACACTGTGCATAAGGCTATTCTACACCTCCTTTTAAAGGGATATAAAATGCAAGTGGCAAAATATAGAAAACACATTTTCTTATAATAATATAGTTGATGGTGACATTTTTATTACCATGCACCCCGCTGGGTGACATTCCCATTTACAGAAATTTTCTTTCCGTTCACTAGATTGCTAAAGCAAATAAAATTGCTCCATAAATGAAGGACTGTTATTCTTTACAGTGCTTTCCTGCTTCTGATCACTTCTTTTTGCCATAAACATCGCTCAAGTTCAACAGCACTGTTCTGGACCCACTCTGAAAGTGGAGGAGAAACTGGCATAGCCTCTTACATTTTCTATTTCAGGTTTAATGGGGTCTAAGTTGTGTGCCTTCTTGGAAGATGATGCTTCCATCTTTCAACCGTTTGGCCAGGGAAGGTGACTGTCTTAGAAGTTAAATTAATTGCTGGGTGAGGGGAATTGAAAGTGAGCAATAAAGAATGTCCTGGTCAGTGTGGGGGTCACAGATAACCTGGTGGGGTCAGACCACCCACGTCGATGTGTTTGAGGGAGTAGCCATCTAAGCTTTAGTTCTTGAACCAGCTCTGGCTTCTGAAGGAGGCACAGGACAAACGAAATCTGGGAAGGAAACAACTCACACCACCTTTTTATTTCCATTTGTCTTTCTTCTCCTACTTTAAATTCTCCTGCTCCTCATTAAGTTAAGAGAAAGAGGAATATGTGGCATTATAAGTAAACTGAACCTTTTAAATTCCGGTTTGGCGGCCCTGACAAAGGCTCGACCCTGACACAGGGTTGGAGTTCTTACAGTTTTTGCTGCTAAATCCGGGCAAGTCTGATTCAGATGACAGAGAAAAGATGTGTGGATGTGGATTTCCCATGCTTGGCTGTGGTGAATGCCACAGTACAGCTGGCCAAGAAATCCTCTTTGAGGATTTATGACATCGTCCGTGTCATTCATCTGCCCCAGGAATCAGCAGACCGTCTTGTAGTTTTAAGTGTGAAATTTAAGAAATTGAATGAAATTCGGAAATGGAATTATTTTTGAAATGGTATTTTTAAGAAGAAACAGGTTAGGTAGGAAAGAGATGGATGGTGTTTTTAAATATGTCATTTATAAGCCCCTGAAGGTTTCATAAAACACAATCCAAATACTATGTTTGCCATATTCGACCCATGTCCTAGATCAGAAATGTTAGGGCAATTGTGTCATTTGGGCAAAATGATTTTTTGCCTTGGTTTTATTATCAACCCTTTATTATCTTTGGATCTACAGCCTCAGTCTGGGGGGCCCAGTACAATCACAAGTTCCTTAAAAAATGGAAGAGGAAGACAGAAGAGTCAGAGAAAGAGATACAACAACCAAAGCAGAGGTCAGAGAGTGAGAGAGATTGGCAGGTGTTATTCTGTTGGCTTTGAAGATGGAGTGGACCGTGGGACAGGAAATGTAGGCAACTTCCAAAACATGGAGAGTTCTCCCCTAGATTCTCCAGAAGGAATACAGCCCTACTAACACCTTGATTTTGAACTTCTCACCTCCAGAACCATTAACATAATAAATGTGTCTTGTTTTAAACCACTAATCTGTGGTAGTTGGCTACAACAGGAATAAGAAACTAACATACTCCCTCACATACTAAGCTACTCACTACAAATTATAAATATTTCCAAGGTTTTTTTAATGTAGCTTTATTCTAGAATGTAGTAGTGACAGAGTGTTCACTAAAGAGTGATTAATAATAGTGCATGAAAAGTAGTGTCTGAACTAGTACAAATGGTTCCCATTTGCTAATCTTGTATGAACTAATTCATGGTATGGAAGCTCCTGTGCAGCAGACCACACTGAGCTAGTTAAGGAACCAAAGGTGAAAAGGGCTTGTTTCTGTCTTGGATGTGGGGGGTTCAGAATATGGAGAGATGTAAAGCATAGGCTCACAGTTTACTGGAAACCACATAATGGAGGATTCCAAGGGGATCAGCCTCGGCAAGGTCAACTCAATATTTATGGTTCTATCTGGGAGCCGTGGGGAAGCTTTGTGGCCTTGAACTTGAAGGATGGAACAGTATTTCTCTGTTTGCAGTTCAAAGCCTCTGGTCATTTTAATTCGCCCTTCTCTTCTCCAACTTTTTAAACACTCCTGCTTCTTCTTTCTCCCTCTTCCTTCGTACTCAGCAGCCTCTCTTTCACCCACAAGAGTTGTGCAACAGTGATAAATACATCTATAATGGGGTAAAATGGGGTAAAAATTAGTGCTGGGCCCACTCCCCACCATTGCCCCTTACTAAAGTGCTACTTTAGTTGTTGGATTTTTACCTTTTTGTCTGCATATCTTCTTTGAATTAGGGAAAACTCTATGAGCAAGGTCTGCATCATCTGGGATTTCTCTTTTTAATATGTTTAAGGCAGGGGTCAGCAAACTATGACCTGCAGACCCAATCTGACCTGCTGCCTGTTTTTGTAAGGCGCATGAGCTAAAAATGGTTTTTACATGTTTTTGTAGTTAGGAAAAAATCAAAAGAAGAAAAATATTTCATGACATGAGAACATTGTAAAAAAAAATCGAAGTCCACAAATAAAGCTTTATTGGGACACAGCACTTTTATTCACCCTACAGTGGCAGAGACCAAATGGCCTGCAAAACCTAAAATAGTGACTATCAGTCCCTTTAGTTGACCCCTGGCTTAAGGGATATGATCTAATGAACATATAGAAGATACTATTAAATGATAATATTTGACTAAAAATAGGGGTCCGGCCTTGAAGTTTACAGAAATGAGATCAGATAAATGACAATCCAGGAAGCTATACTTGAATTTATTCAGATTTGTACCAGCTAGGCCTATGACTGGCTGCATGTAACAGAAATCCAATTATAGTGGTAGAACCAGAAGAAGACTGATTTATCTCCCCAACAAGAAGTCCAGAGGTTGATAGTCCATAGATGAGGCTACGAATTCTTAATGCTTTTAGCATCTTGGATTCTTTCAATCTTTCTGCTTTTATCCCAGTGCATGACTGTCTGCCTCATAACCATGATACCAGCTGTACCTTCTGTCTTCCTGGCAAAATTCTACAAATTCCAACTTGCTTGGCTTAAAAGTATATCCCTACTACATCATTAGAATAAGACTTGGGATAAATGTTCCCCTGGAGCCAAGAACTGTGTTTGAAGTTTCCATGGACGTATTGGCAGAACCAGGACCCAGAGTGGAAAGCCCAGGAAAGGAGATGGGGATAGTGAGGTATGATCAAAGCCTTGGAGGCCACTTCATTCATGTCTCACATGCCACGAGCCAGTGGTTCTCAGTCGTGTGCATCACAATCCCCAGGAATCCATGCTCAAACACAGATGGCTTAACTCCTGGAGTTTCTGTTTCAGAAGGCCTCGGCTGCACCCAGAATCTGCTTTTCTGACAAGTCACAAGGTGATGAATGGTGTTTACAGAGAGAAGATATAACTGATGCTGATGGTCTTGGGAGTGCCTTTCCACACATCTAGGGAGGATCACTGAAACTCTAATGGAGGGCGAGGGAAGGAGCCTCTCATCTCAGTTAGACCATTCAGTTGCCCTGCTGGGTCCTCCTGGGGCACAACCATGCTAGGGAACTTTGGGTGTACCAAAACCCCAGGATCTTGTCAAAGGCAGATTCTGATTCAGAAGGCATGGGATGGAATCAGAGATGCTGTATTCTAACAAGGTTGTAGGTGAGAATGCTAGTCTGGGGATCACATGTTGAGGGACAAGGCTGCAGTCACCTTGGTTGGCAGATTCCCTCCTCTTCCTCAGCCTGCATCACAGCAGGGCCACCCTGTTTCCAACCCTAGCTGTCCCCCACTCTGCTAGAGGCAGCAATGCCCAAATATTCTGGGGTAGGCTGTCCATATCTTTGTCAATTCTACTGAGCCTACGGACTAACTTATTTGAGTGACATTCTCAACTGCTTAGAAAGCTACTGGGCCAGAAATGGAAATGGCAGCAAACACTTTCTTGAGAATTAGGAAGCCAAATACTTTTTTTTTAATCATTATTTTCCCCAGATTCAGAGATTGCTTAATTCTCAACAAAATAACAACTTTTAGATTGCAAGATAAAATATGAAAATGTTGGCCAAGCTCAAGGCCACAGGAAAAGAGCAGAAAGTGTACACACTGTGAGAAAATAGAGTTACAGAGTGTCTCTGTGGCATATTTCAAGTTCTGGATTTACTCTATTTTTCAGCTGTGTGCATTTATCTGCTTTCCATAGAACCAGCTGGAGATTTAAATTTGCATCATGAATAATGCTGCCAGAATTCTCCCTTGCATCTGTTGGCTCCGAGGTTCTTCAGTGGCCAGCTGGTCACCAGAAGTGATCATAAAAGTACAACCAGTTCCAAGGAAAAGCATTTTTCTCTATTGCCTGTGGAGTGAGACAAGTAGGCATCCCATGACTCCCCTTTCTGGAGAACACTTTAAGGGACTCTGGAGAGCAGGATCTTGCTAAATGTCCCAAAAGTTCCTTCCAAAGGAGAAGAGACCCCAAAGAGGAATCTATGACAGTGCTTCTCTGGAATCTGGCTTCAGAATGATTCTCAGTCTGGAAAGTATTCCCAGTGATTTGGGTGTGGACTGAATGCTTCCCTGTCTCTCCATGGGTGGGCTGGCTCTCAATGCAGGTGAGTGGGATCTGAGCATGGGGGTGAGCGGGATCTGAAGGTCCCTCAGTGGGGAGCCACTCCCGTTCCTCTCTCCTAAAAGCTTGATGAAGCCTCAAGCACCCCGAGGCCTGTGGGTAGAAGTGGAATTTCTGAGTGACAGTCTCAAATGTTGGCAACCCTGACCCCAGAGTAAAACTCCCTCCTTACAGCTGTTCTCTGTGACTCCTTCACTCCCCGCAGGGCCTGCCTTCTCAAGCTCAAGATGTTCCCAGTCCAATCACCTGAGGTTGTCAAACCATCTTGCAGGACGGCAGCCACCAAAGATCTGCAGCAGCTAGTCTGCAACCCTGATTGACCAGATGTTGATGGAAACAAGCCATCTACCTGCACCAGCATCTGTGAGTTACTGAAAGAACTCAGGTCTATATTATTCAATAACCTGACTAGACAATGGGGGAGGGGTGGTTCAAATATCGATTATTCGCATCACTAAATTTGGGGAAGATTTGTTACCTAGCAGGTAGATAGCCAATTGTGTTGGACACCCCCATGCTCACTCATGCTACAACAACAGCGTTGAATAGTTACAACAGAGACCAAAGGGCCAGCAAAGCCTGAAGCATTTACTACCTGACCTTTTGAAGAGAAAGTTTGCCCTCCTCCTGCATCCACAGAATTCCTCCCATACGTAGGTCCTAACTGGTGCTCTGATTGTCTCCCCTTCCACAACTCAAACCAAGAAGCCACAAGATGTAACAACTAAATAGTAAATTGGTAATTATATTGCTGTTGAGTTGGGACCGGGCTCTACTACAAGGTCTGATTGAATCCCTGTGATAAAAATCTGTTCACTTGTGAAATGTGTGTTTGGGGAAACATGTGCACTGAGCTCTGGGGTGCAGAAACCCAAGTTCTTCCTTAGTCCACAAGGGCGGCTCTCCCGTGATCCTGATGAAGACACCCACATTAAATGCTTCAAAAGCAGTGAGCTAAGAGTGACTCAAAATACATTCTATTTTGCATGAAACATCAAAAAATAGGTGGCATATTATTAACCAAATTACTTTCAAAGTCACTAGCTTTCAATTGCCAAAAAATAATTTTACCTTCTTTATAAAGAATCAGAAACTGTTAGTTATGAAATACATGTTGGCTGTCAAAAATATGGAGGACAGTGAAAATCATTTGCTATGCTTCAACACAGATAATTTTATTAATATATACATTATTAGCTATACGTTATATGATATGTAGGATTTTTTTTCTAAATCAGATAGATCATCTATTTCCACAGTTTTCCATCCAATGGATGTATCAGTTATAATTCGTTAACTATCCTACATATGCTAACTAAATATTCAGGTATCTAATTCTCAAAAAAGATTATGTGCAGTTAGTTTTATGACAGATAAATGTTTTTGTTGCTGGATTTCTTACATTTGATACATTTAAAGTATATATTAAAATACAATTTTGTTACATAGCATTAACAAAAATATGTCCTCTTTTCTGATTTTCCTAGCTAAGTAAGGTATGTTCTCTACACATGCTTCACTTGTAAGCCTCTCATCCTGCATGCAGTTGAGCCAAGAACTTATCCCACAGTAAATGTTTGCCAGACGTCAAAGCATATTTGAAGTTTTTCAAATAACATTTTTGGATTTCTTGGCTCTCTCGTGAGGAGTGTCTTCAAGGACAGAGCATTCCTTTCAAATATGTATTGTGTTTTCAATAAAAACAAAATATGCTATGAATAAATATTACATAAAAAAATAAAGGGAGAGTCTAAAATAGCATAAATACACCTTGACAAAACATAGTTCCAGAGGCTTCTATCTGACTAACCAAGGTAGTTCTGTATTCTTTTAAGTCAGTAGTTTGTAATTCAGGGGTTCCATGAACTTAATGGAAAAAAAAAATACATCCTTATTTTCACTAATCTCTACCTGGAACTTAGCATATCCTAGCATTATTGAAAAAGAAATATCAACACTGAAATCACAGATAGTTCACACCACACTGTAGATATTACAGATCTCTCAACAGCTTGTTTGCATCAATTACCACTTTGAGATTCTGGTATTTAAGTGATGCACCACCAGGTGTTGTGATTTTAAATACCCATAAAGAGGCTTTTATATTTGATATCACATATTTGTTTCTTATTGATATTCTTATAACTGTATTTCGATACGATTGGTGCCCCTTGTAATTCTGTGTATTTTATCACATGCATTTATTCAAAACGTTATCCTGAGAAGGGGTCCACAGGCTTCTCTGCTCAACTGCAGGACAGTCCATGGCACCTCTTACTCACCGTCCGTGGCCCGAGCAGAGATCTCCACAGCCCGCCGGACCAATGTTGCCAAAGGGGATACTGTCCAGCAGGCTGGGCCTCTGGCGTATCTTGCTATTTTCCTGTGTTCCTCTCCTCTCAGAAAATACTTCTTGAGAAGAGGGGCACATCAGGACACTTGAGTAAGAAGAACTATGTGATGGCCCATGGATCCACAAGGCACAAAATCCTCTCTAGTCCCAATGTGGGCCACACTGGACAACCATCCCGAAACAGGTCACTAGTCTTCCACGAGCTGCCTTTGGCTTACGGGAAGATGCGTCAAGATGACAGATGCACAGCTCTGTTTAAAAGTCTAGGGAGTTATTGGTACCATTTGTCACCTCAAATGATAAAACCTTTGGTGGTGGGAAAAGGCTCAGAGGTATATTTGGTGATTTCCATGCTTAAAGAATTGGGGGACATAATTTCTCATTTTCTTAGTACCTTGATTGAGGGTATAATCTACATGACACACAATTCACTTACTTAGAGTGAACAAAGGCTTTTAGTATATTTACAGAGTTGTGCAACCATCACCAAATCAATTTTAGAACACTGTCATCGCCCCGAAAGAAACCCGTACCCATTAGCATACCTCAATTCCCCACCCAGCCACCCACTCCCAATCTCTAGGCAACCAGTAATCTACTTTTGGTCTCTTTAGATATGTCTGCTCTGCACATTTCCTGGAAATGGAATCACACAATATGTGGCCTTTTGTGACTAGCTCCTTTCATTTAGCATAATATTTTCAAGATTCACCCATGTGGTTGCACAAATCAATACATCATGTCTTTTTATTGCTGAATAACATTTAAGTAACATTCCATGGTATGGATATACCACGTTTTATTTATCCATTCACCAGCTGATGGACATCTGGGTTCTTTCTACTGTTTAGCTATTATGAATAATGTTCTTATGAACATTTGTGTACAGGTTTTTGTGTGGACGTGTTCTAATTTTTCCTGGGTATATACCTAGGAGTAGAATTACTGGATCATACGGTAACTGTATGTTTAACATTTTGTGGAACTACCAAGCTGCTTTCCAAAGAGGCTGCACCACCATATACCTCCACCAGCAGTGTAGGAGAGCCCCAATTGTTCTATATCCTGGTCAACACTCATTATATCCTGTCTTTTTGATTCTAGCTGCTCTAGTGGCAGTGAAATAGCATCCCATTGTGGTTCTGATTTGCATTTCCCTGTTGCCCAATGGCTTTGAGCATGTTTTCATGTGATTATTGGCCATTAATATTTATTCAGATCCTTTGCCTATATTTTAATTGGTTAGTTTTTTTAAATTATTGACTTGTAGTAGTTCTTTATATATTCTAGAGATGAGTCCTTTATCGTATAAATAATTTGCAAATATTTTTCCCATTCTCCCATTCTGCATGTGTCTTTTCACTTTGAAGTACAAACATTTTTAATGTTGATAATATGCAATTTATCTGTTTTCTTTTGTTGCTTGTGCCTTTGGCATCATAGCTAAGAAATCATTGACTAATCTAAGGCCATGAAGATTTACACCTATGTTTTCTACTAAGACTTTTCTAGTTTTAACTCTTACATTTAGATCTTTTATCGACTTTGAGTTAATTTTTGATAAGAGGTGAAGTAGGAGTCTGACCCTATCTCATGTGGATATCCAGTTATCCCATCACCATTTGTTGAAGAGAATATTCTTTCCCCCATTCAATTGCACTGGCACCCTGTGGAAATTAACTGACCATAAATGTTAGGGTTCTTTCTGGACTCTCCATTCTATGTCTGTCCATTTGCTAGTACCATACTCTTCTGATGACTGTAGCTTTGTAGTAAATTTTGAAATCAAAATTTCTGAGTCCTCCTGTTTTGTTTCTCTTTTCCAAGATTGTTTTAGTTATTCAGAATCCCTTGAATTTCCATGTGAATTTTAAGATCAGCATGAAAATCTCTGCAAAGAAATTGGCAGAGGTTTTGATAGGGATTGCACTGAATTGTGATCAATTTTGGGAGCATTGATGTCTGTCTTAACCATGTTAAGTCTTCCAATCCATAAATATAGGATGGCTTTTCATTTATTTAGGTCTTAACAGTTTTTTTTTTTCAACATTGCTTTGTAGTTTCCAGAGTACAACTGACCCTTGAAACAATACAGGTTTGAACTACACAGGTCTACCTATATGAGGATTGTGTGTGTGTGTGTGTGTGTGTGTGTGTGTGTGATAAATACAGTACAGGACTGTAAATGTATCTTCCTTATGATTGTCTTAATAACTTTTTTCTCCAATTTACTTTATTGTAATAATACGGTATATAATACAAGTAACATACAAAATATGTGTTAATGACTATTTATGTTATTGGTAAGGCTTATAGTTGACATAAGCTATTAGCAGTTAATGTTTTTATGCAAATTTTTGACTGCCCGGGTCAGGGGGTAGCACCCTAACCCTTTCATTGTCCAAGGGTCAACTGTATACATTTAGCACTTCTTTTGTTAAATTTACTCCTAAGTATTTTATTCTTTTTGATACTATTGTAAATAGAATTGCTTTCTTGACTTCATTTTCAGTTTGTGCATTGTTACTATTTGGGAATACAATTGACTTTTGTATATTGATGTTATATCCTGCGACTGCTAAACTCATTTATTAGTCCTTATAGACACAATAATGTCATTAATGAAGATAGATGATTTTATTCCTTTTTTTTCTAATCTGGATGCCTTTCATTTTATTTCCATACTTAAACTGTTCTGGCAGAGAATCTCCAGAACACTTGAATAGCAGTGGCAAGAGGAGATATCTTTGTTTTATTTCTGATCTTAGGGGGAAGGCTTTCAGTCTTTCACCAGTAAGTATGATATCAGCTATGGGTTTTTTGTAGATGCAAAATAGTTTCTTTTACAAAAAAATGAGCCAATAAAAGATAGTCGATTTTTACCTTGCTTCTGGAAGAAAGCCTGGGTGAGAGCCAAAATTTAGGAGAATATTTGCTCTGCCACACTGACATGCTGCTGTTGGTTGAATAACATTTGCTTATCAGGCATTTATTTTCCATGCTTAGATTCATATATTGCTGCATAGCCACAGACACTTAATTTTTATGTCAGAATTTTAGTATTGTTATGGCTTATAATGTTTTTAACTTTATAATTTCTTTCTTCCTAATATCTAAATGATTATAATGAAAATCAACGTTAAAAATAATATTTTTTAATGTTTTATTTATTTATTCATGAGAGTCAGAGAGAGAGAGAGAGAGAGGCAGAGGCAGAGGGAGAAGCAGGCTCCCCGCCTAGCAGGGAGCCCGATGCGGGACTCGATCCCAGGACCCCAGGATCATGACCTGAGCCGAAGGCAGATGCTCAACCATCTGAGCCACCCAGGCGCCCCTCAAGGTTAAAAATAATACTGATGTATTTATTAGTCAAGTACTAATTATGGCCATATAATTTTAACATTCCTCTTAGTGTTTGCCTTATAGATTCTGACTGCGGTTTTGACAATCATTACCTTGAAAATAATTGTTGTGAAACAATATCCTTTGAATTTAAGAAGGGGACACTCATGTGCCCCCTCCAATGGCTTCCTTGAGGTGACATTATCTGACTATCTGTGTAGACCAGCACCTTCTAATAGAAATTTTGCTAATGATCAAATGTTCTCTCTTCATACTGTCCAATCTGGTAGATATTAGACTATTGTGCACTTGACACGTGACTAATGAGACTGAGGAAATGAATTTTTAACTTTAATTTTAATGAGTTTAAGTTTAAATAAATACAGGAGATTAGTCCCTATCATATTGGACAGTGTATGCAACTTTCATCCCCTTCATTCCCACGTGCTTCCAAAAGCAGTTTCCATCCAAGGGGCCTGGAACTTTCTTCGCCAGCAAAAATTAGTAGTCACTCATTTTTTGCCACATTCTCCATGTCCTTAGCACCTGGAATTGTGCATTCTGATAGATGGTTTTTCAGCAAGTGCTCATGTTGGAACTAGAAAGTTCTTTTTAAGTCTTTTAAGAAAAAAGCTGCCTCTCACACTTGAAAAAGATCTCTGACGAAGGTATGTCTGGGGCAGCACATTTCCCTGGAGCTCTTTCTGCATCTGGACTCCTCTTCGTTTCTGTCTTCACAACATTCACCAGTAGTAACACTGCATTTGTTGAGTAGCTGCTGTGTTACAAGAAAGGCTAACAGTCCCTGTGTGTAAATTTTCTAATTTCTACAACAACTCTATACATTAGATATCATATCTCCAATTTTGGGGGAGAAAACCAGAGATTTAAGTAACTTAGCCAAACTCTAGCAACAGGTAAATGGCGAAATCAGAGCTCTGGTGTATTGCACATTCTAATTCTCTCATCCTAAAGTGAGCTGGAGAATCTTAGTTTCACCACTGACTAGCTGTGTGGCCTTGGGAAGTCACTTATTTTCCCTGAACTTCAGTTTCCACATCTGGAAAAAGAGGAATTAACAATGGATACCTCCAGAGTAGACAGGGAGTTAACCTGAGGCTTTATGAGAGCCCTCCAGGTGCACACGGGCCAGGGCTTGCTTCCTGGGTTATCTTCAATTCCTTCCCTATACCTCCTAGCCCGTGAACTTACTTTTGTCCTTGATTTTTTTTTCACAATTGCTTATTGTTATTATTGGTAAAAATGCCCAGCTGAACTGAATTTCACCCAACAGACATTTAGTGAGTCTCTGCTATGGTCAGGAACCATGCTGGGTGTTGAACACAATCAGTGGCTGAATTCAAATTCTAAAAACCTGAGTATGTCCTTTTCTAGCTAAAATCTGTTGAGTGTTT